GCATGAAAACCAGCGTCTTCATACTGAACAATCATGTTCCATTTCAAGTCTACGTCCAGCCCTCGTAATGGAAGGAAACATGTCGGAGCTCTTTTCTCGCTGACTGATACGACGAAACGCCAAATTCAGTTCAACTATTAGCCGAATGTGGGGGAAGATTCTTTATACATTGACAAGTTGGGGGGCTTTGGTGTACCCTCCAAGTTGGTTGACCGCTAGATCCTTGCCTTGGCCTTTCCAGAACAATCCCTAACTTGTAAAAGACCACAACATGAGTTGGAACACCTGGCACACAGCCCAAGACTGCTTCGCCATATCCATGTTGGAGAACGCCAAGATCCATTCTCCATCCCTGAAATGGCATGGCCCTGTCTTCTACGTCATGGGTAAACCATGTTTAGTCCCCTGTGTGAGAAACGGCGGGATCGTGTGAGGATCGACGTGTAAATACAACGGTCATCAGAATTCCGTCTGCGCCATGTCAATGGGCAAGAAAGACCTCGTACTTCAATCAACCACACCTCTTGACACTTGTTTCTAGAACCGAAAGAGTCGTCTTGTCTCAAGACAACGTCGAAAGCTCCCCTGAATCGTTATGACCACAGCGAATGCTTCTTCCGTGACCGCATGCCTGATAGGAACTTAATCTCTGATACCAAAGCTCCAAAGTTACTGGCAAACAGTAATGGGCACCGTTGGGCAAGACCTTCTATAACGAGACACAAATGTTGTAAGCTAGAACAGCAAGGCTTTGCATCAACGACTGGTGATTCGCACGTCTAACGACCACGCACGCCGTCCCATCTTGTCGGTACATTGAACGAGTCAGCCGTAAGACGCCGATTGGGTCTGCAATTCTACCGGTTTCACAGGCAACACCGATCGGTGATTCTGCAGTACATTTAAGCTTTCTCCAAGAGCGACTAGTAAACCTTAATATGGAAAGATCTGACTACAAGGTGAACAGGGGCTGATGCTCCGCTCGTCTTAAGTAGGTAGTGAGCCCCGAATCTCTCCACCTACTCGGTAATTTCAACGATACCATCGCATTTTCCATCCCGTCTTCGGCCAACCGCTCGCTTGTGTGTCTCACGATGCCTCGCAACAGGAACGTACCACCGGCGCCGTCGAACCACCCAGTATCGCTTCTCTATTCCTCTCCTGAGAAATGGCGGGTGAGACAGGATCCATCTCGGTCTCTCAAGCCCAGGCGATGGTGATGGTCGCTTTTGCCGCGACTGCATATTACAATACCATTGAGACATTTTTCTCCATCTTCACCACGTTCAAACGTCGCCAAGGGAGATACTTTTGGAGCATGATCGTTGCTAATACGGGCATCAATATTAACGTCACCGCGTTCGTCCTTCGATACTTTGGCTATTACCACCAAACCGTCACCGCTTCCAGTATCATGATTCCCTTTGCTTGGTATGCCATGGTCACAGGCCAGGCTATTGTCCTGTGGTCACGGCTTCATCTTGTTGTTCACAGCCAGCGCAAAATTCGTCTAATCCTGACAATGATCGTATTCAACGCAGCCACCATGCATGTCCCAGAGACGGTGATATTCGTTCTCGCTAACACGAAGCCGAAAGAATGGACCATGCCGTTCAAAATATACGAGAAAGTCGAGCTGGTTGTCTTCACCATCCAAGAAACGATTATCGCCGCTGTATTCCTTTACGAAGGCTACAAAAGTCTCAAGCCTCTCAGCGTGATAAAACCGAAAGCGGTCACCAGCATGGTTCGTCACCTAGGAGCTCTTTTCGCCGTCGTTTTCATTCTCGACACAGGCCTCATAATCCTCGAATACAACGACAAATTCGAAGTGCAGACCATGTGCAAACCGTTCGTTTACAGCGTCAAGATCAAAATGGAGTTTGTAGTTCTGAACAAGCTGCTGGCGTTCACGCGGATGAGTACATGCAACTGCCGAGGTCCCGAGACAATACCTTCAAACACCTTGCCTGACAGCAACACTCGTACGGCTGTAGGAGGAAACTCGAACGATCGGGCGACACCGGCGCTTCCGTCCGTGGAGCAGACGGGGGGGTCGCTATCACCAATTTTGCAGACAATCCAAGAAGATCGCATATTCGACGGGAAGGGTTCGCCGACAAGCACGCGGGATAGACGTCGGCTGAAAGACAGCGAATCCGAGGCCATCACAGCGGAGACAACCTCGCCACTTTCCACACGTGCAAAAACCTCCCAAAGCAATGGTTGAGTAACGAACTAGGCAATACGAACTCAGCTCATCACTGAATACCTTCCCCAAAGGCATCCTGTGCAATTCCGTCGTCAAGCTTCTGCGTCGGCATCATGGCTATTCATATTTGTCGGTACATATCCACCATACATCATATGGATCTCCAAACCAGAGCCCAACCATGTGAGAGATACAAAAGTCATCAGGTGCGGCGCTGGTAAAAAGCCCCCCCTCTAGCGTGAGGAGAACTATACCCCATCCAGACCTTGGCTTATGAGAGCGGAGAAAGGTCTGCGTAGAGCTTATAGAGTTGCCAGAACGAGGTTCTTGACACCGGTAAGATGGCACTAGTTTAATCTGGGACGACCCAGGCGTATATACCGCAACGAATATATAATAAATCGTGTTCAGATATTGTTGGTACAGTTACCGAAACACAGAGGTCAAATAACGTTGACCAAGAAAACAACATTCAAGTGAAAAGCAATGCTTACCTATTGCATTTATAAAGTTTCTGCATGAGCTTCATACGTGCATATACAATACACTTGGGCTGGTCAAATATATGGTATTCTGTGACTATATCTTCTTACTAGATAGCGTTTTTCTGTACGCGCCTTTATACTTGTCTCATACATACGGAATTGTATCTCGGATCGAGCACATATTGATACATCTTAGAGAATCAAGTCCGGAGCGTTATTTTTGCACCTTACCTTCCTCCTCCTTCAACTCGTCAGTAAATTAACATGGTTACTGTGGCAGACCAACCCGATGGCCCATTTGGGATCTTCGTGCCATTCAATGAGTGTCCCGTTCGAGGCTATCTAGCCAGTGGTAGGTAAGCGGCTCTCTTCCTTGTCCAGCATGTGCTTACCGCTTTCTCGGTTGGCTACTTTTGGAAAGTTATCTCATGTTCATACATGGCAACAGTTCACGAGCGCTTACAACGTGTAGCACCGAACCCTCCAAAAGAGACGACTATGTAGGATTTAGTTTTGTTTTCGTTAGAACAGCACCATCGTATGGCTGTACGACACACAGAAACGAGATCTGGCAGAAATCACTTCGGTTGTTTCCTTAGTCGTGCTTCTGATGAACAATGGGTGGCATAGTAACCGCCGTGAAGCTTGTGCTATGTTCTGATTCAACTGGTAAGTTATGCAGAAAAGCCAAAGATTGTAGTTAATAATTGTTTAGTTTCAATCTACGGTAAGGATAACCAAAAGCAAACGGAGACATGATAGAGCTTTGAGCCAGCTGCGCTCCAAGATGCAAGTGTGTAGAAGCGCAGCATTTTTGAGTAAGTCGTTTGTCAAGAGACTAATGGCTCGAGAGCTTATACCCGCTTTCCTGGGATCGACTTCTTAGTAGTTAGAACATGACTGAGAGGACATCAAGGTCCTGCAACTCGATAGACAGAGGGCCCATAGTTTGAAGTACAACTTATATGAACAGCCGAAATCAACAAAACTATAAGCGTATCAATGAAGCTGACTATATGTCATTTCAAGTCCTGGTGTGCCTTCATTCTACTTTTGGTGGTAGCATATAACGAGTTGTATTTTATGCGCACACCCTCCTCACTATGCTGAATAAAGACGAGAACAAAGCGCATAAAAATGATAAGAGGAAAAGGTAGAAATAGTGAAACTGCCTTACTAGCACCCAGAGATGAACAGTGCGCCTATCCACAACGACATAACTGCTGTATGTCTGCAGCATCAATAAGTGCCAATAAAATGATGCCATTACTTTCGACTGCCGATGGACTCACCACCGCTCTCGAGATAATTTCTCTCATCTGGTGTAGAAGGCCGGCCCATGACCAGATTTCTGTGCGGGTATCTCCCGAACTGTACGATGATGTCCCGGTGCTTTACCACAAAGTCATAGTTCGTTTCCAGCAAGTCTTTGGCCGACTCCTTCTGCACCGCCAACACTCCCCAACACTTTCGCTGATCATCAGAGCCGGCGGTGCCGTCATCGGCCATGAGTTCCTCAAAGTCATCCTTCATCCGCTGATACTGCTTGGCGGCAAAGTCATGTAGTGCCAAGTCCTCGGAGTGCATGAAAGGAAGGTAGAACCACATTCGATAGGCTACGCGGTACCGGAATTTGCTATGATTCGGGGCGCCGGCGTTTACAGCGTGCTGGGCGATCTCGCGGGCGATGGGATCAAAAATCTTGAAGACGATGGACGACTCAGAGCCCCGATAGATGTTTCGCGGTACCTGATCCAGGAGTAGGACTAGGCTCAGCCATTGCAGAGGTGTGAAAGGCCTGATGATTGAAAGCACGTCTTTGCTCGATGCCCTCGCCGACTTTACAGCCTCAAGAACAGGGCGGTATTTCCTTCTAGAAGGCACGTCAACACTACCACTTCTCACAAAGTGTTCTGCGACCAAATTGAACATACACGCAGACCTCGTCAAAGCTAACGTCAGAGAAGAACCATCTCCCCATTTGACTTTTCTGAGGCAGGATGTAAGCTTCTTCCGTCTTGAGGTGCTTGAACCAGAAACGGCAGAGCTTCTCAAGCAAGTCGGGCGTGAGCATCTCCTGGAGGCGCGCCTTTGCATGTGTCTTGCAGGAGTTTGACCGGGGCAGACCATTTGACAAGGTCATCTCGGCGGCCGAGTCGCGATAGTAGCCAGAAGTATGGAACCCTCGTCTCATAAGCAACAGTGGGCCTGTTGGTCGAAAGGATGTTGTGGCGGAGGTGAGCTATCCACCTCACCACCTGCGCTGTTGAGATGCAACTTGGCTTCATCCGCAGAGAACGGCCAACGCCCCCCGCACTTCACAGGGTGCGGCCATGGTCTGATGAGTAGGTATGGCAGTCATCTTACTCGCACAACAACTACAGGGACTAATGGGTGGTGGGTGGTGCACTGACGTCGTCGTCTCGCCTCTCTGTGGTCTTGTGCTTCGTCTGGGAACACTTTGGGAAGAGTCTGGACGCGCCGAAATGCGGGGTTTGTGCAGGCTAGGACGCCCAACGGACATGTCAGGGTCTCTCGCTTAAACCTGCTAGTAATGCAACACCTCGAATGTGTGTGGCCGTCCGCTGCTTTGGATCGGTTGGCAGCGTGGCTTGGGGCCATCGGTTGATCCCTTTAAGCGTTAGAGTTCGCCACAGCCGACGATTGAAATGTGGCGTCCAAGATCATAAGGATAAGCGTTGCTGATCGAAGACCGACAGAGCCGGGATCAAATTTGCCTAGTCTCAATGCTGGCACCAATGGTATGCTTGATGAGGGTTTCTTGTGCTTTGGCGGTTCTGTATGGTCGCATTTGAAGACCAAAAAATCATCAGAAGGACAGTATGGACACTCTTTTGCGCCAAGTTAACGTTGAAACCTCACCTCATGGATGAGCTTCAACAAAGTGTTGGCATATTCACGAGGGGCATGGAGAGATCACAACGAAGGGGATGATTACCATGCAAAGAAGAAAGGCGTCGTAATGTCTGCACTGGAAGACCGACTACATGTGCCTGAATTAACACAGTTTCAGGCAAAATACACTGTAGACCAAGAGAGTCGTGCCGATCATTCTGCGTAATACTCAATATGATGATACAGAAGAAATCGTCTAATTACGCCTCGGTTTTCATGCCCTCATGATCAGTCTATCGGTAACATTAGTGGCTTGGTATTAAGCGGCAGAATACCTGAATTGCATGTGTCACCGGACACATACCGTTGGATGACTTCAGCCGCTGATAAATGAAGCATCAAAACTAGGAGAGCGAGCAAGCATGCAGATGTCTATCCTAACCGACACTGATACGGTTGCGGGCCGCCGCTAGTGCAAATACCCCGAAGCAAGAAGAGCGGGATCCCGCTCAATGTTTATGATTATTGACCGGGATGAAGATAGCTGTCATTGTCCCGGGGAAATGTGCCTGGCGCCCGACGCGTCTGGCGATGGAAGAACAGGTAAATGACAGACGGGACCAAACTTGGAAGAGCCGGCTGCTCAAGTCCTCATTCGGTCGCACTACCAGCGTAGGCGATTCCTGGTACATAATGCAGAGGTCCTTGCAGGGATTGTGCTACACCGATACCAGCTTGGCTCATTTACATCCAACATTACGGCATCCGCTACTACGTCCCAAACATCATGATTGGTTCATACTGGCCGTCGCTGATCGAACAATAAGAATCGAATCACAACTTCACTGCTAAAAGAAATAGCTGTGTGAGGCCTGTAAAGTCGATCTTTCTGGAAGGGGTAGTATCACCGGCACTGGTCAATGGCTTGTTCAAGGCACGGTGGTGTCGTCATGTAAATATCCCAGTTCGCAGGCAAACCGCACAGGGGAGCTGGCCATTATACCATAATCAGAACTGAATGGACACGAGAGAAGATCAAGTATGGTTAAAAAGGCCCATTCGTCCTTTCATGTCCTCATCATGTTCTTTCTCTGTCTTGCTACCTTATCGGACTGTCTGCTTATAACCCGAACACTACGATTTTTTCATCTTTCTGTACATATATCATACAAGCCTTCCTCAAAATGCGTTCATTTGCTTCTTTCTTCACGACCACACTGGCGGTCGTTGGAGCTCTCGCCGCTCCAGCAGCCGAGCATGTCACCACGACGGACCTGATCAAGCGCCAGTCTACCCCCTCTTCCCAGGGAACCAACAACGGTTACTTTTACAGCTGGTGGACCGATGGAGCATCTCCCGTCACCTACACCAACGGTGCCGGCGGCTCCTACAGCGTCCAGTGGCAGTCTGGTGGAAATTTTGTCGGCGGAAAGGGTTGGCAGACTGGCGGACCCAAGACCATCCAGTACTCTGGCACCTTTTCTCCCGTCAACAACGGCAATAGCTACTTGACAGTTTACGGCTGGACTAGAAACCCAGTGAGTCGATTCTCAGTCAAGATGAGAAATACCTTGAAAGAAGTTAGCTGACTCATTACTTCCTAAGCTCATTGAGTACTACATCGTTGAGAACCATGGAGAGTATAACCCTGGCAGCTCGGCTACGCCCAAGGGCCAGGTCACCAGCGACGGCTCTGTGTACCAGCTGTACGAGAGCACCCGTGTCAATGCACCATCCATTGACGGTACCCAGACCTTCAAGCAGTTCTGGGCCATCCGCCAGAACAAGCGCACCGGCGGCACTGTTACTACTCAGAACATCTTTGACGCCTGGAAGAACGCTGGAATGACCATTGGTACCTCGTTCGACTACATGATTTTGGCAACAGAAGGTTACAAATCTGCCGGCTCCGCCAGTATCACCGTCGAGACTGCCGCTTAAGTAGCAAATAGCGACATGGCAAAGTGTATAGAGCCTGAAAGCAGAATGGGATACTAAATTTGCGCACGGCTCGAACGTGAGAGAGATCTTCTAGGGTGACTCCAAGAAAAATGGTATAAATATAACGCGATGCCCAAGCTTAGAAGCTGTTAGAACTACTGCTAGAGTGTTTGAATGATCCCTTTGAGATACGAACCAAATTCCATTCTATGGAACCTGTGTTCGAAGCTTCTTCAGGTCCTCGCCCTCTAGCTAATAGGGTGAGATAGGTGAGTCTCGCCGCTTTTACTCACCTTCCACGTTGTGCGACAAGCCATAATGGTAATGGGGGGGGGAGCTACATATGTTGTTTCTTGTGCTAACATAAAATGATCAGCGGCCAGCCCGGCTACTATGATTCAAGCGTGTCTAGATCAACACTACATAAGCAACAAGAGATACTGTCAAGCAGTGTGACATAGGCACTTGAAAAGCTTTGTATTTGAACTTTGAAATAACCTCTCCAAAGGTTTCTCAATTGTCCACCAGGGTCGTAGGCTGCTGCAATATCCTTCAACCGTTCGTGGTTCTCCTACCCGTACCCAGCGTACACATCCTGGTTCTTCTCGGCATAGTTCATGTACGTGTAACCTGCAAACAAGCCCCTCTCCTCTGCAAGAACCTGTATCTCGCAAATAAGGTCCGCGGCACTCTGTTGCACAAAATGGTCAAGATGTGACGTTTCCCAGTGTGTGACTACCGAAATATGCACCAGTGGGCCCCTTTCCGGGGTGAGCCCCAATGCGTTTCCGCCGTTCTTTTGCATTGCGTCCAGAATATTTGCGGTGACGGGCTGATAGGTGAAGAACGGTTCCACTGTCTCGTTTGTGTTTTTTGCCTCATCCAGGAGACGATTGGCATGCTCTTGATAGAACGGAATGATGTCCTGAACTGTGTTGACCCCTCTCCCAAGTAGACAGAGGTCCCGGCCCAAGCTTTACGTCCCCCGTATGGTTCAGAGATTGCTTTGGAATCAGTAGTGATGTTGGCTACCGTGGTTGTATTGAGAAATGATCCAGCAGCGGATGCACTCGTTGCAAAAACCTCGGGCGTCTCTCCCGCAGATGAAGGGGACGTGGCGTAGTAGAGGTAGTTCGCAATGGCAAACCCACCGAGAGATGCCAAATTGGTCATGACGAAGAATGTATGCCCGTCAGGATCTGCCGGTAAACCGTTGACAGACAGGTCCACAAAGGCAGGCACAAGCTCGGTGCTTGAAGAAAGGGGGTACAGCGCGGTGTGTAGCCATACATCGCCCTGTTTGAAAGCTGTGAGATTGAATCGTGTAACAATTCCATAATTGTTCCCACCACCTCCTCTGAGAGCCAACAAAAGATCTTTGTTGTATTTTGGAGAAGCATTGACAACTTCGCCGGAAGCCAAGACAACTTCAAAGTTGCGAACATTGTCGCAGGCTCATCCGTAGCGTCCCGAAAAGTACGATATGCCACCACCGAGGATGAGCCCGCCGATGCCGACATCGCTGACTCGTCCGCTCACATCAGCAAGACTCAGCGGGTCAAGTGTTTCCGAGATGTTGTCCCATCGGTTGCCAGGTCCGACTGAGATGGTTTGGCGATCGTCGGACAGGGTGATCTGATTGAGACGTACTAAATCAATGGTCACGCCGTGCGCAATATTGGATCTTCCATCAAAGGCTGTGTGGCCACCGCTCTTGACCGTGAAGGGAACGGAGGCTGAAGTCAAGATCTTGATCGTGGTTGCGACGTCCTTGGTGTCTTCGGGCGTCACGAAACAGGCGGGATGGATCTCAGCCTGACGGCCCGAGTAGTAAATATTTGACAGCACGGATTGCGTCGAGCTCGGGAAATAAACTCTGTCTGGAAGTGGAAATCCAGGAAGATGCACTGCGCAGCCGTCAGAAAGAGCCTGAAGTCCAGCCTTATACTTTGCTTACCCCTTGATTAATCTCGGGTACCAATTCGGCGAAGGCTCTAATTTGCAACATGGTCACACCAGACCAGATGATCAGCGACGACCACATGCCAGCTCGATCCAACGGTAGCGGACCTTTTGACGATGAGCCTGGTGATTTGCGGCAATCAAGATAGCCTGGGAGAGAGGTTGCGGAGTCATTGTCTGAGCAATCACTGCTCTCCTGTACTTTTGAGACACAAAAGCAATAGAGGCCGCGGTATGAAGGGCACCTAGACTGCCAAGATGTATGAGGCTAGGCTTCCTTCTCACTTTGTGCTGGACAATAACTCTCGTTCGTCAACTCGGACTGTTTCCGGTATTTGATCAACGGTTTAGGGCTCACTTCGATGATGCTGGCAGCGAAGCCCGTCCGGCATAGCATTCGCGTGGCGCCCGCTAATAACCACTCCTGAAATACGACGCCGCAGGGATCAGCACGATGTCTCAAAGCCTCAGAGAAGACAAACAAGTCACCGGAATGGCGGTATCTGTGCATGTGGCATTCACGAGACGAAGCCAGAAGTGACCTGATCAAGCCTTTAGATCTGATAACCAATCTGTGCATTGCAAATTCTGTCATTTTACTTGCATGTTTATCCTCTTTGTGACGAGATAAGCATTAGGGTCGTAGAGCCGGTAGCGACCTCCGGCTAATACAGGGCCCGGAGCTGGGCCGAAGTATTATGGGATAGGATCCAATCTCTTGCGACTTGCCGCGATCCTTACATCTCTGATAACTTACATCTCTAATAGCGCAGCGACCACTTAGGAAAGGCGCAAAGTCATGGCCTAAGACGAACAACGAGAACGTGATTTGGGTTGTCGGTAGTGTGATGTGCGCGATCCTCCCGAGACTTCTAAGCATTTCATCTTTTGATGCAGCCAGAAGCCCATTTATGTCATCAAGCTGATTAGTAGATCGATTGTGATGCGCATGTGGCTCCAACCGAATGGCATCCTTTCCTCGGTACTGCAGCTTACTATCAGTCAAGGACACGATTGTGTAGTCAAAAGGGCCGCTCGCCATTCCAGTAACCTTCCTCGTCTCAGGGCGCTACATTTCCTTGTATTAGCAATCGACTTCTACGATTCACGGTCAGAGAGCCTGCCAAAGTCGAAACCGGTGTTATATCCTATTTGTACTGTATATTATACGGGCACCGACCAACGATGCATGATATCCGAAGTCGACTCGAGGTTTATGCACTCCCTGCGAACGGCCACGGTCATCATTGAGCATCTTCGCCTAAGGAAAAACATTCTCCTGGGGCAAGCGATAGAACCAGACAGTCTGGACCAGGCCGCCGCCAAAGTCCGTCTTGAGAACGTGCTTGCTGCAGTCGTTTGTGAACTCAAATGTGTTGACGAGCTCAAGGCCAACGTAGCTGGGAAGAGTAGCTGAGGTCACATCGACCGTCAGCACGCCCGAGGGGCCCTTCTTGAGATTCCCTCCCTTGCCCTTGTTGCCCTTGTCGCCGTACTTGTCGTTCCCGCCGTCACAAGTCACCTTGGAGAAGCGGTAGTTGCCAAAGACGCCGAGGCTGTGCTGCGCGACGAGGGCCCAGTCATGGTCCGAGTCGGTGGGCTTCGCGGGGAGAGTAACAGTTTTGGGGCGCACGTCTGCCTGGGTGGTGTCATTGGCGGTGATGACGAAGGAGATATGGCCCGAGGGCGCGTAGACTGAACCGCCGGAGGGGTAGATGCTGTGCCATTCTGGGATGAGCTCGCCGGTGTTGGTGTTACTGGAAGCTGATGAGTAATTTGCGTCGAGGGGGAGGAGAGAACGCATCCGCGACGACAGCTTCGTCTTAGGGACTGGCTTACGTCAATGTAGCATTGAGGTAGCCCCAACCACCGACGATGCATTGCAAGGCTCTTTCGCACTTCATCTTGACGGTATCGGTAGCACAGGATCAGAAAGGTTCCCTAAGCTGAGCTATTTAGTGACGGGTTGAAGGTCTCGGAATCTGCTGTCTGGTTGCAATGCCATCCAAATCCAGGGCGGAATAGTTGAGAACTTATACAAAATAATCCTCTTCAGCCTTCTCGCAGCCGTTATCGTGTTACTGCAGGGAGCGGACGTTACCGAAGCAAATTGATCCATTCCCACGACTTTCAGCCCATTGCGTAGCTCACAGTGGCGGCGTGATGCGCATGGATTGGGCTGCATCCCACAACGAGAACACCTTTGAAGACTCTTGCCATGGCTCAACGAAACGTGTGCTAAGGAATGTCTAGTTACACCCAAGCTTGGGTCTAGATAGTCTCGTGGAACACTCTCAGATTTCCACCCTACTAAACGGCTGATATTAGGGCTGATGGCTCGTCGTCTATTTCCAATAGTCGCAATATAGCGTTGATCTGGCATGCGTGATTATTACATGTACTCACTCACTCATCCCTCACACATGACGTGGCTACTCCATCATAGACGCCTAAAACACACACCCCTTAATACAACGCCACTTTTTCAGCCCTCTTTACCACCCAAATGAGTAACATACAGTACTGGCTCAAAAGTCTTGTTACAGCAAAAAGAACACCCAATCAAGCAACTAGGATCCCACCGTGTAACCCATATTCATAAGGGATTTACACAACATTATCATAATAACCGGATTGTTCAGCCTTGGTTTATGTGAGACAAGCATCACGTGACCTTCATGGCTGTTGCAAGACTTTTGAGCTGGTACTGTACACACTTCACACCTCCACAAGAGTTATGAACGCTAGCTTTTTACTTAGTAACCAGATAGAGACACTGATCAGCAGGTAAATATACTTATTAATAGGCATATAGTAGGCCAAAACCAAGGTATAAGTACTATACTTCTATGTTGCTATTCTAGGCGTATAGTATGTTTGTAGAGGCATGGCCTCCTACGTAAATATCAATGTTTATGAAATCAGAGCGCAGATTACAGTCCAACAATGAACCGTTGTAAATAACACTCCAGCTCTTGCCAGTTTCCTCACACTTTAGGAGGAGGGTTTTGCCAGTTAGATCTTTCTTGACGAAGAAAGACAGCCCATGGACATTACAGTTGTTGGCGTCCAAACTGAATTTGAATACACTCCTGAGGCGGCTGCGGCATCAATCAGCCGCTTTGGAGTATCATCGTGTGTCAGAGTACTCTTAACGAAAGCATCCTGGCCTTCCATTACCTCTTCTAGATCATCCGATGAACCAAAGTCAACTACCTTGACGGTGACTTGACGAGCAAAAGACCCCTGTCTGAGTTATAAAACGGTTACGCTGAACCCATCTGCAAGCAAGGCTTTCAATGTACGACTGCCAAGATTTCCAGTTGCCTAAGATGATCAATTCGTAACACGACCTGTTTTATGCTCTGTAACGAGGTATAAGCTTGCACCGGCAAGTTCTGCACTATTGATATTATATGAAAACCGCTGTAAAATCCGGGTATGGATAGTAGGAGACATTAGGCGGATGGTTTTTGACCATGGTAATCTGCATACGAGATAAAACTATCAAGCTTTGCCACTATTGTGCCATGCCATCCGGGTCTCCCGGATCTGCAGGAACTTTGAGTTTACACCATGGGTCTGCCACACGCGGGATTGTGAATATGTGCGTTGCAGGTGCTAGGTATTGGTTCCTTCGAGAGGGAGGTTTCATGATGGGCTGAACTTTAAAGCCATGAACCAGGTACATCTGTCATAAACAATAACTGGTCAAATTCAATGTAAGTACGGACTCCAATTCCAGGCATTTTGTCTCGCAAAACAAAAGAATTAGTACTCTTGACTCAAAACTTAGAGACCGCCCATCCATGCACGTACATGAAGTTCTCTACTCCACTTCTCAAGCCATTATCACCCACTACTAGCTATCATTTACCACACGCCCTTCTACTGCTAGCATGCAAACTGTCTTTTCTACCAAGCAATGTAGCAGGATACATCCTAGCGTAACTGACTTTCAGGTTCAGTTAGTATTTTTAATCAATGAAATTCTCACCCAAGAGCAATGTATTGTTGGGCCGAGTGACTATAATCATTGGTAGAACCAAGTTCGGATCGATAACCTTGTTTCAGTACCTATGGACATGCTTTACGTAGATCCTTGTCAGTTGGGGTTTCCCGAAAAGCTAAATGAAATAACAAGTGCAACTGCACGTTGCAAAAAGCCGATAAAGATATTTTTGATTGCGGTAAAGTGGAATGTCGCTATGACTGGTAAAACAATATGGTGAATCTATAGTAGCTAATGGTTGTACCAAACGTGCACCTCTACGACTAGTGAGTGTTGGTAGGAGAGAACCCCTTGATTGGGAAATGAAAATTGACATGATGGCATTCTACAGATTTGCCAGTAGCGGGAATGTAGGCTGACTTGTCGGCCGCTCTGCTCTGCTCGAGACTCTCCCAGCCCAACGCTACAACGAATACCTTGCTATCACCAACATCGTCGCCAACGGCGAAACCACTAGCAAGGTCGTGGAGCCCGTCCATCGTTCGCGCATTGTCAAGACATGCCCTCATCTCGTCCTCAGTCATAGATGGGCTGCTAATGGTGATGCACTCGGTGATGGGAGAATTAATCGCTGCTCTGGGCGCGTAAGGAACGAACTTGATGAAGTGTGACTTGATGGGGCCCGTCGTAACCTTTTTGAACTCTTCCATCCTCTTTGCGAACACGTCAGAAGCGAAGAATTGGTCGCGAGCCTCCTTTGATTTCCAGCCTGGCTTTTGTTAGATGACCTCCACCATCATGAACAGGGTTCTTCTAATACCAGAGAGTAGATCAAGGTTCTGCTCGTTCTCAGACCAAGGTCCCCAGCGACTACGGAGGTAACCATTCTGCTGCTTCAAGGCAAGAAGATAGGCTTTGAGGGGCTCCTTCCAATCTTCCTTGGTTCCCCTGACAGGGATGATCATGCGTTCAGTGACTGGAGTGTTAGGAGATATAGACATGTTAATCTTCAGTGAATAGCGTGATTCAATTTAGGTATCTACAATGGAATAAGTGTGCTTGGATTGAATTAGGAAAATGGATTTGTGATGTCAACGAAGATTTGGTAGGTAATAAAAGAGAGAGCGATTTACTTAAGTTAAATACTGCACGTGTTAATACGCAGAGGTCCATGTATTCATCCGTAACTCAAATACTTCCACACTAAGAGGGAGCATGAAGTAGAAGTAACATGTCCGACGGAAGTCTATGCAATGCATTGTAATATCCGATGGTCTGAAATTCGATAGAGTTATTAATGATACATTGCATACTCATTCCCAACGACCCCCGCTGGTCAAGATTCAATCATCCATCTAACATACCTAAAAACATAAAAAAAGATAACAGGCGGTTCCTGAGGGCTGTGAGGTATCTGCATGTATATATGGTGATTTTCGGTAACCCCGTCCGTCCTCGCGATTCTTCGTATCCTTTTGAGTGATGGCTGGGCGCCCTTGCGAGGCAAAAGTTTTAGTGGTTACGTCGGACTGAACGGCCCTGGGTTAATGCGCGACTGAATGCTTTTGCCGCATCGTCCACTATCATCGGCAATCGGAGTAGGTTTGCACAACTGGAAATGCTCTGCTTGAAACAAACAACATATCGATATTCATTTGGAGATTCCCACCGGACTAGACGAACCTTTTCTGGCACCCTGCCGCCAACTTGGGTAATTAGAAGAGAAAACGTCGCTTCGAACAGACCCTTGGGCCTTTTATGGGCGTGTCAACCTACGCCATCAATCAGAATATCGGATGGATCCCTTGTGGCCGCCAGAGCAAAGTGAATAACAACGATTTGGACGCCGAAAGTTCATTGTCGTATGACTCTGACGACATCTCTTACCACGCTCATGAATTGGCAGCTCTCATGCTCTGTGGACTAGTGACATACTCTGAATAAATAAGCAGTATCTCCGCGGACTGTCCAAGTCCAAACTCTTCAGTAATCAAGCCCATCAAGCTTACTGATTTCAAAATTATTTCCTAAGACCATTACCAATTATTGGCCAATTTGACTACTGACGGCAAGATGGCATCAAATATCACTAGTACAAAGAATGGGTTCTCGGGAACGGTGCCCTCTCCTCGATCGATGCTTACTGGTATCTCCCTCGAAATGGTCCAAGCTTTTGCGCCGAGTCTTCAAAGATGCGGCAGGGAAGGATAACCTTTAAGAGATCATCAAAGATGTTCCTCTGGAAGACGACGACTACCTTGAGGGAGCCTGTCAAACGCATTATATGCACAACTTGTATAACTGAGAGGTGGTACCGCCCGAGAGTATCGGGGAGCTTGGTCGTGAACCTGGGAACCCACATGAACCGTATCCTCAATGTCAATCCCGAGGTGTGTTACTGCCTTGTTGACCCTGGCGTGAACTATTTCTAGACGCAGAAGTACCTGGACGAGAACGGTCTGCGGGACAGGGTCTGGCTGGACTGTCCGAAGCTTCGGAACGGCTTTATTATTGGAAATGCACGAGATCATGGAGTCAGACCTACTCCATATGTCGACTACTAGTAATTTAGTGCGGTATGGAGATCGTTCTCGCTAACGGCGAAGTAGCGCGTACCGGCATAGGCACCAGGCAGAACTCCGAAGGTCACATGCAAGTTGCCCAAGTCGTTCCTTTCGTTTCGATGTTGATAAATGAGTAGTAGGATCCAGCCTCGAAAAAGATTAACACGGAACGCTGGGTCTACATGGAAGGCTCTTACAGGACCGAGCCCATTCGCAAAGTACATCCTGAAAGTATCAAGCGGTAAATGACCAAGGTTCCTGGCAGCAGATGGCTCTTACTCGAAGATCACAAAGAGGAGTTCAGCAACTTGCATATTTAGCCATGCTGAGACCCTGAGGGGTCTGCCAAACTAGGAGGAACTGCGGTGGTTGACTCAGTAGGCATTCGTCAGACCCATTGCATTGCACACAGCTAATGCTTTTCCTAGGTGGATCCCTAACTACACGTTCCTTTCCTTCCCCGATCGCCAAGGTGGACGCAAAGTCGGCAATGAGGCAGTACACCATAGCCAAGAAGCGTTTTGCTGAGGCCAAACTCGACTACTCTAAATAAGCAGTTTTACTACCTAAGGAACTGGTTTCTAGTCTGTCACGATGTGGTATAAGGCGTTAATTGCTGCCCGCAATTAACGGCGTCGTCTTTGCGCAACATAGTCCTAGCCACGTTTATGACTTGCTGTTAGCTTAGTTGTTATGTAACATGTAATAGTCCCCATATTGATATAGTAAGATAGGTAGTCATAGACCTCGGCCAGTTTTAATAGGTTATTAATCTCCTAAGATACTTACAGTACATGACGGCAATGCATTGCTAGACATTCATCTTACAACCCCTTGATTGGTATCCGGAATACCCTGCAGATCGATCGATCCACTCAACAGCCCTGATGGTCTAGCGGTATGATTCTCCCTTAGGGTGGGAGAGGTCCCAGGTTCGATCCCTGGTTAGGGCCCAGCTTTTTTGAAAATATCATTCTTTTTAGTAGCAAGAACTAGCGGGTTAGGATTAAGGTATAAACATTTGTACCTTACTGTCACAAGCCATATGCAGGTAGACAGTCTTCACACAATAGACACGAGTATATCTACATGTTAGTTAAGTATATAGTTAACCTCAAGGATTTTATCCTCGAGTAGGTCAGCCTTCGAGAAGACTATATACACTTACCTATCCTTACCTGGCTATTGCTTATGCTAGGTCCTTGTTTCTTGTGTTGTTGGACGCGCGTTGCTTGCTTCAGTCACTGCATCTCTTCACGTCGCTGCCGTGCTATTGTCTACCAGTTTCTACAACCAATCTACACTATCAGATCCGGGACGGCCGGAAGGAGGACTGTATCGCATACATTGATCACTAATGTAGCGACTATTACAAACTTGTCAGCTAAAGGAGATATATGTCTAATGTTACCATCTTATATGTTAGGGCTTTGGGCACGTGGGCTTTTGTATAGAATGGAGGCTTCGGCACTATGATCTAATATGTATTACCATTCGGCACATTTATGTTGGATCAAGTCTTGTTTCATATGCAGAACATTGAAATAGACGTTCGACTTGAGCCTTGTTATCACGTGCGTTCTGAGTACCTGCTGGCGTGAAGGAGCGCAATGGAGTGAGTGATAGAGCAACGTGGCCGTAGGCCTCGTATTGAACAGAAGCTGAATCGTAGGGATTTTATCGCTATGAGATCTCCTGCTTTTCTATATAAAAACCCCGCATGCCGAAACACTTGAAGAACCTTATAGATTGGAGCGTACTGTAACGTGAAGTGCTCTATTGGTCTGTGACAGCTGGCTACCACGTGACAAATCTAACTGGGATCGTTTCCTGCAACCTCTCGCGGCCAGAGCGGCTGGAGGGTCAGTGCCGTGCAGAGGGTCGAGGATTCACAACATGCAGGAGTGAAAGTAGTCTTGACGCAATTGAATGAAACCTGCTTTGAACCTATGTTGCCTTATAAATGGAAGCTCTTCCTCCTCCCTTCTTCCTAAGTCATCAGATTTGAACTTCACTTATACAAAACCGCCAGATTCATCCCTTACGTCAACTCTAGACATCATTACTAGCCATAGATACCTGTACCAGTTGAAAGAACATCAACATGTCCAAAGAGTCAGCAGATCCAACAATTGCTCTTGTGACTGGAGCAAATCAAGGAATCGGCTTTGAGATTGCAAAACGGTTATCTTCTGAGCACCCCGACTTTCATGTATTTATGGCGGGAAGACGGCAGGATGCTGTTGAAAAAGCGGCCGCGGAGCTTCAGAGTGCAGGACTCAACGTCGAGCCTCTGGTCATGGATATCACGTCCGACGACAGCATAGCATCGGCCGTGAAAAAGGTCCAAGCTAAATTTGGACACCTCGACGTATTGATCAACAATGCTGGTATCTTGTCGGGGAAGCCAGAGGATTCAATTCGGCAAAGACTCACAACCGTTTACAACACCAATGTATTTGGCTCGATCGCCGTCACGGAGGCCTTCATGCCTCTTCTTCACAATTCTTCAAAGACGCGTCGTGTTGTATTCGTTAGCTCTCGCCTAGGGAGTCTTGCCGTTCGGACTGATCCAAAAGTGGAGTATCCTCCCATTGAGTTACTGGAATATGGCTCAAGCAAAGCTGCGCTTAATCATGCAGCAATGACCTTTGCTGCACGATTCAGAGACGATAACTCATGGAAGGTCAACATCTGTTGCCCTGGTTACTGTGCGACCAACATGAGCGGTTACAAGGGCGGTGACGAAGCATCACTTGGCTCTATCCAGGCAGTGAAATTGGCGACGCTGAATTCCAACGGAGTAACCGCATCTTTCTCGGACAGACATGGACCAGCACCATGGTAACGTAAATATGATTGCGAGAATAGAAGGCAGTCAGACAGCTAATACAATGTATTAAGTTCGAGACTCGTTGTATACCCTATGAGTGCCGCTTTTTCCCCTCCTTCATTGCCGTGCTTCGTTAGAATCACGATTAACATACCTTGCTTACGAGACCATTTGCAGGGAGTTGACAAAAGCCTGCCATTGGATGATAGAATGTCTTGATGTCACACAGAATGCCCCTCTGCAGTTTCCCCGCTTCCGAAATGTTGCGGGGTTCTCGTAAGGTCGGCAAACAACCAACCCCACGAGTGTGTGTGTCCCAACAAACTTCAATTCTGGAGCCGAACTTCTAACGAAGCTTTCAGCACATTGAGCTGGAAAACCCCGTGACAATGGAAGTTCCAGCGAGGCGGCCGTATAAAGGATCATGCCATTGTGGTGAAACGCAATACATCGTGTTCCTGACATTCCCGCATACTTTACCACCGCCACGGCCACCGAAAGCGAATACGCCACGATCTCACCAAGAGTTCTACAAATGCAACTGCACCACCTGCCAGAAGGCGGGGTTCTTCCACATGCGCCTTGCATCGTCTCCGGATGACTTCATGCTGTTGAAGCCTCTCAATCCGTACGAGGACCTCGGCGACTATTCAGTTTACCAGAAAGACTTGCACTTTCTCTTTTGCAAGACTTGTGGAATGAGATGCATCATCTTGATGGGACAAGGAGAGGTAGCAGAAGTTGACTTGGAGGAAATGGGGGTCAGAAATGACAAGAATGGGTCAGGAAAAGACAGCGTTGAAGGCAGTGCGCTGACCAAAGTCTGGAGGCCCAAGAAAGACGGTTGGAAAGAAGGCAGGAAGTGGGGAAGCTATCTAAGTGTTAACGGATACTCTGTCGACGCCGGCCAGGATGGGTTCGATCTACGTGAGATCACGGAGAACAAGTGGGTTGTGTATCTCGACTGGCTCGAGTTGCATTCAGAAGGGTCTCAAGGAACTCGATTTGATCGGCCTTGGGAGGGCGGTGCTTATTGATCTGCGGGGCTATCACTCTGCCATTGTAGCACGCCAAATCATGTTGGGGAGAGCGCTGTGGGATGTGATCACTCTGCCTCTAGCGTCCACGAAACACTGCGACCAGACTTGTAAGAGAGCTTGTCCTCTTGCTTTATCGTTCAATGAGCCATGATATACAGCACCTGTTTGAGGGATTGTGAGAGGCGCAATTTGTACTGTTGATCGGCTGCCTTGGTTACACATCTCCGGTTGGTCGAGTGAGAATATCATTGCGGAAGTCGGCGGTCAGCGCTGGATTGACTGCATTAGAGCCCACTAAAGCCGGGCGACAAGCCACTAAACTTCGGCCACGATGATATTGTGAAGCAGCCTCCTCATTATCAGTGAAGTCGTGGAAAACAGCAAGGCTCTAGTCCCTCGTTTCCCTTCGTCACTATTATGTGAATAGCGCTTATGCCCAGATAACACCAAATGCGATGCAATCAACAGGCAGTCAAGGGTGGCCCGTTGGACCAATTATTTCATGGATCGAGATAAGCTGTAATACGATGTTCGTTAGGCGAGCTTGGACTTGGCGTTCATCTGCACTCATATATCTTACACACCTGTTTCAGTTTTCAACTATCAATCTTTGTTTTACATCGAGTCATTTTTTGCTGCATCAGAATGTCGACCCGAAGTGTCAAAGTCGCAGTCACCCAGGCCGAGCCGGTATGGATTGACCTGCCAGCTGCTGTTGAGAAGACGTGTGCGCTGATGAAGGAGGCCGCTTCGAACGGCGCCCAACTCGTTGCATTCCCCGAGTGCTGGATCCCTGGTTATCCAGTGTGGATCTGGACTCGTCTTATCGACTTCGACCTCAACGTGCGTTACATCAAGAACTCTCTACAGCTGGACTCTCCCGAAATGGCCGCCATCCAAGCCTGCGCCAAAGACAACAGTATTGCTGTTTCCTTCGGGTTCTCCGAAAACGACAACAACTCACTCTTCATCGCACAAGCCCTGATCGGTCAAGATGGTGAGATTAAAGTGCACCGTCGGAAAATGAAGCCGACGCATATGGAGCGAACCATCTTTGGCGATGCTTCTGGCCACTGCTTGAGAAGCGTGGGTGACCTCTCCTTTGCCCGGGTTGGTTCTCTGGCATGCTGGGAGCACATTCAACCCCTTCTGAAGTACAACACCATCGCCCAGCAAGAGGAAATTCACGTAGCAGCGTGGCCGAGCGTTACACCCCATTCTGGTACTGGCCCAGACATGTGGTCGATGAGTGCGGAAGGTGGGTGATGAGATTCCGAAATGTCCGTCAATTCCAACATTCCGTCGCTAACTGGACATAAAGGTTGTCAAACGCTCTCTCGTACTTATGCTATTGAATCAAGCGCGTTTGTTCTTCACTGCACTGCTTTGATCACCAATGGAGGAATTGAGACACATGACAGCTCCCGTGGCCTCATGATGTGTAACCCCGGCGGAGGTACTTCAGCCATCTTTGGCCCGGACGGTCGCCGTCTCACGGAACCTGTGGATGAGACGACGGAAACTATCATCTACGCCGATTTGGATATGGATTCAATCAATAGAGCGAAGATGTTCGTAGACTGCACAGGCCACTACAGTAGACCCGATCTTCTGAGCCTCAACGTCGACACGAAGATTCATGCCGTAGTGAGATCGGATAGGAGCATCGAGAAGCAATCAAGGGAGGAAGTCATGCCTCCCCTCTGAGTGTGTGCGTTTGTGCTGTGGACGAGGTTGTCACGTAGCGCGATTGACAGATGCGAAAGATTATGAGATTGTTACGGCACTGGTCAAGGTTGGCCAACTGATCATGATGTTTGTGTATGGTGTCATACTTTGCATTTTGGTCTTTCTTTCTGCTCACCAAGCGTTGTCGCTTGTTAGCCAATTGAAATCTTCACAATCTATCAACCCATGGAATGCTTGCAGAAAGTCAACAGGACAAACACTGTTAGCGCATTCCCCGTTTAATAAAGTGTCAAATGGTGGTGGGTGACTAGGGTGATAAGTAAACACGCTGCAAGTGCAAAGGTAGGTATATAGTATTACTAAAGCTAAAAGCTACTTCCTCTTTTCTTTTTCCTTTTTTCCCCTAAGTATTCCTAGTGTATATACGCTTACTTTACTTCTGTGCGCCCTCTAAGTATATAATCCTCTTATGCACCCTATGCACTTATACTATATACCTTACTTATTTAGTATTATATAATACTTAACCTATGCTTAGCCTATTTAGCCTATTTATCTTTAATATAGTGCCCTTTTCCTCTAGGCTTTTGTCCTAGAAGCCTCTTTAGAGTAGACTAGCTCTAGTGCTGTTTCCTTTACTACCCTACTACGCTATAAGCTTCTATAGCCTCTTATATACTACTATATTACTATATATCCTCTTTATATAATTTTCCTTTTCTATAGTATTACTATAACTTCTTTACTTAGTCTTATATATTATTACTATTATATAAAACTAGGTAGGTATAAGAGGCTTTTTCTTTTTTTTTTAGTTTCTTATTTAAACCTAGGTAGGTATAAAAAGCTTCTTCTTTTTCTTCTAATTTCCTATTTTAGATATACTTTCCCTTTAAATTAGGCCTCCCTAGGCCTATATAAATAACTTCTTATAGCTATTTTTCTTTTTTTTTTTTTCTTTTTTTTTTAACCTAAATTAACTATATAGATCCTTTTTTTTTATTATTATAATTTTATTATTTTCTTTATACTTTTACTACACTTACTAGCCTTATTAACTTATTATTATTATATTTAAATAGAAGTATATTTTATACTTCTTTTTACTTTATTTTTTTTATAAGTACTATATACTTATAGTACTTTCTATACTTATTTTATAACTTTATACTAATATCTATATAGAAATTTTAAATACTTACTTACTTTTCTTTTTACTTAACTACTACTATACACTTATTTTACTTACTTATTTACTGCTTAGGCGTTAATATTTTATTTTATAGATAGTGCCTTTTAAGGGTCCTCCTAAGCCCCCTAAGGGCCCCCCTAAGGGTCTCCTAAAGGCTAGCCTTACTACCCCTAAGGGTAGTATAAAAGTATACTTTATACTACTTACTTACTACTCTTATTTATTACTAACTTTATATAGAAGCCTACTAAAAAAAAGGGCTATATATACTATAAGTATAGTAAAGTATATAATATACTTTATATACTCTATATATACTACTTTTACACTAATAAGGCTACTAAATACTACTTTAACTAAGGTAGTATATTTTATTATTATTACTACTTATTCTTTACTTACTTTTTCTTTTAGGCTAAGGTATATAATATACTTATTATACTAACAGTAGGCACTTATACCTAGGCCTTATATAACCTCTCTTTATATATCTTTAGTACTACTTATACTTTACTTACTTATTACTTAGATCTTTACTTTACTCCTAGGTTATTACTAGGTGCTTAACTAGGCTATATATACCTAGGATATATTTACTAAGGATACTTTTAACACTACTACTATAAGTATTTCTTTTACTGCTTATTTAATTTATATATACTAATTTCTTTTAGCTTTAAACTATATTCTATAACACTAGTAATAATATAGTATATATACTTATAGTAGTATATACTACTAGTAGTATACCTCTAGTGCCTCCTCCTATTGTCCTTGTTATACCCCTAGTGCTTCTGCCTATACCCCTTATTCTAGCTACTTTTACTATACCCTTAGATATACTTATGCTTAGTACTACTAGTGCTACTACTACTACTCCCCTCTTTAATAAAGAGTAGGCTAGCTGCTTTATTATAGCTATTAAGAATATTACCTTTATAGTAGCTTATATATATTACTTCTTTTTTACTACTTATAAGCTACTTACTACTACTTATTACTAATATATATATAGTACTACTTTGTTTTTTAGTAAAAAGTATAGCTATACTTTAACTATACTACTACTAAGGCTAAGGCTAAGGCTAACGCTAATAATAAGGAAAGTAGTAACACTATACCCCCTAGTAGTAATAGCGCTAAGTAAGCTACTTACTTACGTTGTCCTAGGATAGTCTTTTTAGCTTATTACCTACGCCCTATATGCACTCTAGTTACTTATTTTAGCTTTATTTTCTTTAGTTATAGATACCTTAGCCTATAGGCCTTAGTTATTTAGCCTATAGGCCTTTAATACTACTATTATATTACTCTTTTACTTCTTATACTTATTAATAAGTAACTTTATTTTAATATAATACTATAGCTTTTAAGTGTTAAAAAAGGGTAGGGTATTTAGGCTACCTAACAAAGGAAAAGAGGAATAGTAAAACATAGGAAAACTACCTACACTATAATAACGTCTAATAATAATAATATATATATTAATTAATAGGTCTTGCAATTCTTAGACCTAATCTATAAAGATACTAAAATAAAAGTATAATTTAATAAAGTAATTACAAAAAGAGTAAATTTCTCTAAATAAATAAAAGTATAGTAATAACTAGTAGTGTATTTCTATATAAAGTATTAAGGCTAATAATAATAACTATATATAAATAATTATATACCCTCTAATCCTTTCTTAGGTCTATAAATCCCTTTTTTAATAAGTAGGTAGCTTTCTTATTAATTTATCCCTTAAATTAACTACTACATAATTCTTATAACTATACTACTTAACCTTACTATAATTATCCCCTTAGACCTATTATTTTAACCTTAAGTAAAAGGTCTAACTAATTCTTAGACCTAAGAACTAAAGAAAGAATCTAAAGAAATAAAAGAAAGAAAGAAAAGAAATAGTTTAGCGCTTATAGTAGTACTTAAGTTACTTTAGTAGCTTAGGACCTTTCTTTGCCTTTGCC